GAGCAGGATATTGAAAAAGACAGGCAGGAATTCGAACTGGCACGAATGAAGCATGAAGGTATGAAAGACATTTCACACATAGACATGAGCCATTAAAACATCCTATCAAAGTTGCCTATATTTCAGGAAGATTCGGAAAACATAGATGCGTATATCAGGAGATTCGAGACAGGGGCGAGGACGACAAACTTGAGCGATACGCAGTGGGGAACCCAACTCCTTGTCTTAATAGGAGGGAAGGCATTGGATGCATGTCAGGGCCTGAGTGAGGATAACATGAAGGATTACAGAATATTAAAGGAAACCCTCCTTGAATTCTTCTTACATAATGAAGACTCGTATAGGAAACAATTTCACAACAGACTACCATCCAAAGCTGAGGACTTCAAAAACTACGTGTTGGATCTAAAAACCACGTTCATGAAGTGGCTAGAAACGACTAGAGTGGAGATGAACGTGGAGAGTATAATTGAATTCATTTTAATTGATAAAATATAAAGTTCAGTAGATAAGAAGTTACTAAGTTACATACAGGAAAGAAAGCCCACCACTCTAAAAGACCTTACTGACCACTGCCAAAAGTACATTGTTGCACACACGGATAGACCAATAGCTAACAAAGAATCGGAGTATGAATCAATCTTCTATGCGAAGGCGACAGGCGGTACAGCAGAGTACGTTGGCCTAGAGGCAGGAAACTACAGAGATGGCAATCGACGGCCAAGGAGATATGGAACACAAAACGGCACAAGATACGTTGGGAGGTGTTTCAACTGCCAACAACCGGGTCACATTATTAGGAACAGTCCGCATAGAAATCCAAACGTTGGGGTCAATAACCAGGCGGCGGGTCAAGAATACCCCAGAGACACAAACACTCATGCGGCACACAGTTATTACAACCAGCGACATAGACCGGGGCAGGACGGAAATCATAACAATGATTACAACGACCACAACAGTAGCCCAGATAATGAGGGAGTAGAACAAGCACCGTTACTACAGATCGCACCGAAAATACCAACACTAATGGTTAATGTGGGAGCTCAAAGGGTAGAGGCGGTTAGAGACACGGGTTGCTCTACTATTGCTGTAAAAAGTAGCTACGTCGAACAGCACCAATACACGGGTGAATGGAAAATGGTAGAGGTGTTTGGTGGCACGGTCATACGCCTACACATAGCACTGATAAACATTAAATCACCGTATGTGACGGGACAAGTCCGAGCCTTAGTATTCGAACGGGGATCATTCTACGCGATCATCGGGAACGATATCGCGAGAGAGACCATACCACAAAACTATCATTCTAATGCAGCGGTAAGGTGATATTTGATCTGGTCACAGTCTGGGACGGAGCACACAGCGAGACGGCGGTGAGACAACACGTGTAAGACAGATGTTCTACAATATACATGATGGCGCATGGCGTCTTTCGACAAGTTCTACCGAAGGAGAGAAAAATCGACGTCGTATCCAAAGTTAAAAACAAGTACCGGTATCCTTTTGTTAAGTTTCTTTTGTATGTATATTTACTGTGTTTATTGTGAATTGTTATATACGAGTAATGTAAGATGGATGTATGTTGGCAGACTCTTACTGTATATATTTTCTGCCTGTCACAGAGAAAGGCTGACATGTCCTTGCTGTCCATAAGATTGCGTCTCGCAAAGTCTCATTGTAAATACTCAACTGTGAATTTTGTAAATACAGATTTTGAGGGATGTTTTTTTTTTAATTGTTTTTTTTTTGCTGTTTTTTTTTTATAATTCCGCTGATTGCATCAGCTAGGGACAGATGGAGGGTATGTGGTGATGTAATGTGTATAATTCGTTAAACACATGTAACGGGTCACTGCGTGTGTGTTTGTATCGTGTAGTGAGACGCGACGCCGGGTGTGTTGACGTGTATGTTGTTGTACGAAGTGAACGAGGGTACAAGGGAAGCGACTGGTCGGGTGACAGTGGCTGTGTTGTGAGCGAGAGAAAGGTGGTGTGTAGGGATGAATGCGGAGGGCAGTTGAAGGTTGATCGTGGAAGTAAGAAGGTTATTTTGTAACTGAAGATAGAGAAATAAAGAATACAGAAATAGCCTCAATCGTGTTGTGATTCTTTGGGATCCAGACGCCCTCACAATGAGAATACTCCAAATAAGGTTCCTGTGAACAAAATAATGAAAATATGGTATGTGTGGCGCCTGCAATAGTGTGATTTTTCGTCAATACACAATTTGGAGCCCAGAGTTCTGCTACGTTAGCGCGTGGCGCCCTGCATAGCGAGTAAGGAGTAATACTATACTCAGCGTAAAAACCGTCGGCGCCCCGTAGATTGCACAACCCAAAGCTCCCCAGGCTCCCCTGCAAAAACAATGGCGCCAACGTTTATTAAAAAAGGCTATACACTAAAGACATGATGGTCAACAATAATCATTGACTATATCGAACCAGAAGCGTCCCTAGGCGCCCCTACAGGGTTTAATGTGGCGCCTTGGGCTTTTCCGT